CCAATGACTTTTCTAATTGTCCGCCCCTTAGTCGTCCTGGACCTCGTCCTTGCCTTGTCGCATGTGAGAAAGGTGACGCCTCCCACGGGTCGTCTTATGAGTGGCAATATAACAACTATTGCGACAAATCCTTTTGGTAAATTAAATATCAATTAGAACGTATATATTCTTTGTTATATATGTTAAGATGCGCGCTCCTCTAACAAGCCATGCACGTATGCTTCTGAGGCAAGCCGTGAATAAAATATCTTTGTGATAAAAAATGAAGAAGGAAGATGAAAAAATCTCGTATATTTGCAGTGTTAATCTTCTCATGTGGATTAGGTGCAAAGACGTCAGAAGCCTTCTAGAAATCGGAACGAACAATGCAGAAAATTGTGACGGAAATGCTTTCGTATGATGGAAGTGTGAACTTAATGTAATCGGCTCTAGCCTGAGGATCGAGATTCGAGATGGGAGTACCTCAGTAACGTTAACCATTAACATTTTTGTCTCTATAGCACTTTAAGTTGAAGCATTGCAACACTAACACTACAGTAAAATCTAAACTTTTCTCTCACACTTCAGAAAAAGAAGAAATAATTAACACTAATTAAACAATAAACCACGTTAATTATGACTACGACCCTCTTAATCGATATTGTAAGTATTGCTTAATCTCATAGACTTGTGAAGCACATGGCAGTATGGCAAGTTCAACAGTATAAGGATATCTACTATTGATGGATTTCAGTTTTAAAGTGGTGCGAGGTAGTGGTTACTCATAAGTGTAGAAATATACGGGAGTAAACAACTATATAGCAGTGACGGACACTTCACGAAATACTGAGGGGGCGAGTTTAATAGGGGTCAACATATGGCAACCTTTTGGAGCTGGAAAATCTTTGTTCTTTCAACTTTTTTGCCTTAAATTCCATGTAATTTATACCAATGCTTTCACTATTGAAAAAATTTAGGTACAGCTTTGTTATACACAGTTATCCAAAGCCTTTCACAAGTTATTTGGGGTCAATTTTTACACAGCTATAATTATTAATCAGGCATTGAAAATTCAATCTAAGAGATTAATTTCAGTGATACTATTAAGAGTATTGCTTCACCCAATGGAATTACCATGAAATTATGAATTTGTGTGTCAGTTGTGTTGAGTAGCAATAGATTTGATGGAATTGATGATCCCTTACTTTAACAACCATAACATTGCTTCTACTACTATTAATATTGAATTTTCGATGCCAACTGATAATTAGCTGTGTAACTAGTGAAATCTGGAACACGTAACATGCAGCTATTGCATTTTTTTTCAGTTCAAGAATGTAACAAGTTTACCAGCTGCCTTAGAAATCATTCAACTATTTAGACAAATCACATTTAATAAGGCAAATGTAATACAATAGTTGGGTCATTGAGCCCCATTCCTCTTTTTTGAGAGTACTTTATCAGATTTAAAACACGAGGTAATAGCCGAGTGTTCTGATAAAAAATGACCTTATGAGTTCACTGGCGACATAATTTTGAAAATCAACGTTGTCTTAGCTGATACAATCAAAGCTGTAAAGTTCATGTGAATTAACGTGTGAATTAAGTTTTATCAGAATAATCAGATATAAACCACCGACACTATTTCCTTTGTCTTTATGAATTGATACTAAGTTTTTTAATAGGATTTTCAGGATTTTAGCAATATAATCTCAGAGTTGAGTAAAGTTAAAAAAACTGTGTCTTCCTATGCCTATGGGGTATCCTACAGTTTGCCTAGAAGGCAGTCGCAATGACGTAATTGGGATGTTTTAGTACGTTGAAAGATATCCTAGGGGGTAATATATACAGCCTGGGCGTCCGTCTTGTGTAATATAATCAGGATATATATATAGAACCACTCGCTGTCGGCTTGTGTAGATACAGCACCTCATTAGACGTTGTTTTTTTTTCCAGTTCTACAAAAGTTTGAGTGTCAATTTAGATAAGTCGCGGAAAGAGGCCAGATAATGTTTCGGATTAATATTGAAGTCTTGCACTTTCTAGACACTTCGAGTGTTAATGAACAAAGAGAATTGTGTGCCTTGTATAAGCGTACCATAAACGTGCAAGATAACATGACTTCAAGAGTTCAAGTTGTTGGAATCGCGAAGTGTTCTCCCGCATTATTCATTGCATATGGATTATGGAATGACATCATGAAGAATGTTTAAGTTTAATGCAATCAACTGCATGCAACAGGCATTAAAATAAGGATTTTTTACAAGGACACACTTTATCTCCACGCCAAGGACAACAATCACTTGGAAGTGTGGCAGACTTTATTCCCAATACCGAGTGCACTCACTGTCCCCAGTACACACTTTCCCGAATTTACAAGGACACATTTTCCTTTTACAAGGACACAAAGTGTGTCAAAAAACACGCTATTTTAATGCCTGAACTGCAATGCACGTTATATAGTATATATCATTAATATGTGTACTATTTACAAAGTTATATCATGTCTTTGGCATCTTGAATGAACTATAGTTGTTCTAAAGAAGCCTGGCTTGCGAAGTTCATTTCTTCTATATTTGCACTAAAAAGGAGAGGTTGGATATTAGTGTGTTTCACTCAGTAGATTAATACGAGTTTTTCCCAGCTCGTTAAGGCTGCTTTCCAGTTAGGCGTAATATCTTACCATTGTTACACTCCCAAACGACATTGGACCAGATAACTTTCTCTTGTGAGAAAACCATTACTCCAACTCTGCCTCCTTTGTAAGCCTGGTCAATTATTCTGCCACTGTCTATTATATTCTCAGTACCGTTTGATATTCTTAACCTGTCAAGAATCGAACTTGTTGAGAAGTGGGCGCCGGAGGGTGAGGGGAGAGGGTATGTCCCTGCCACTAACCCCGCTATAATTTCACCACAGTGAAAATGCTTTCAATTTGATTTCACCAATCACCGCAGAGTTGATGTTTTTCTTCCTCTGAAGAGAATAGTTAGAACCCACGGAATTATCCAGTACAAATATAATTAATAGTTCATTCTATGGAGAACCTATGGAATAGGTTTGCTCCTAGAAACACTGAACCAACAAAGCATGGATATCAGTCTAGAACAATTAGAACCTATGGAACTATCTAGTACAAATAGAATTAATAGTCCAGTTTACCGGAATAGTTTCCAAACCTGATAAGTCCAGTTTGAGGACGATGTTTCAATTGCCAACGATACGCTGTCTTTCCTTTCCATCCTATCTTGTTCATATCCTGCCACAACACTTTAACCTTTCATGAGAAATGACATGTAAAGGTTTTTTTACACTGAAAGTTTCTATGATCATAGTAGGAATTTTGCAAAGGTAAATTCTAAGTTTTCGGAAAGATTTTTAAGAAATGTTTGAGGAAACTGACTTGGTGTCAAACACGTTGTCAGTTTCCTCAAACATTTCTTACAAATCGTTCAAAACTTAGAATTTACCCATGCAAAATTCTTACTGTGATCACAGAAACTTTGATAGTGTAAACCAGACTTATAAATTGATGAACCTTTCGATTGCTAATCTAAAGTTTCATATTTCTATAGTTACCTGATCTTTGTTAATGGTTTCACTGCTCCATAGTGCATTACGCAACTCTGGTCCTGGACCTGTTTTGGACTGAACAGCCTAGGATGAAGTAAGTGAAAAAATGAACTATGGAATAGTGAAATAACTGAGACGAAAGAGCTACCTTTAATTGACACCAGTAAATGGTTAGACTTTCGCGTCTTCTCGGGTAAGGACGTTAAATCGTAGGTACCTCGGATTCCCTATCAACTGGGGATAGCTTGTTGGGAAATCCGCTCACCAATAAGCGACAAACTCAATAAACTTAATAATCAAATAGAAACTCAATAATCAAACCTTGATCGTCAGTCCAGTCGCACTTGTAGCAAAGAAAGGCTTGCGATCCCAATAGATTTGACCTGATTTCTTCCACATTGCCGTGTAAAATTTACTACTGCTCTGGTAACCGAACACAATCCCAATAAAATCATTGTCTCGCTCTGTGTCCACGTAAAATGTTCCAGTGTAATCGAGGTTTGAAAATGATTGATAGCCTGGAAGAGAAGTGAAGAGAGATATCGGAAATGTGGACTCCCTACTCTATTTCATGCATGGTCTATAATTCTACGCAATGGATTAAAATAAGTCAAAGCTTACCTACTGCCAAACCAGGATCACTATTTTCCAACTGTTCGATTTCCTTGCCCTAAGGTTCGGAAAAAGTAAACTTATTAAGATTCGTAGTTCTATCAGTTTTGAACTGTTCTCTCTAGAGGTCCAGTAAGAAGCTTTGATCCAGAGGTCAGTAAGGGTAAGAAGCTCTGATCTAGAGTAAGAAGCTCTGATCTAGAGGTCAGTAAGGGTACTGATCCAGTGTTACCACAATACTGGATGGCATGAGAGTCTTCCTCTGTGGATCTAGAGTAGTAGAAGTTCGATCAGCCTGAGAAGTCTGCTTGAACATACATCTACACTTCCCACCTCATTTCGTATTTTCCACACTGGGTCTTTCTGATTCTCTTCCTTCGGGTCCAGATTGATGGCTTGAAATCTTCTAAAATCCACTTCAGAAAACTCGCTATTTTCAGGACAACTGTCTTTAGAGTTTACTACCGAGTCGCCATCAAAATCGTCTCGGCATGCATCTCCCACGCCAAAACCTTAGAAAAATAAAAAGGTGGGATCTTGTTTTATTTATACCCAGAGATGGACGATAACAAGTTGTTGGAATAACTTGGAACAAGTCTGTTGAGCTCAAGAACCTTGTAGCGAGTTATCAACAAGCTTGGAACAAGCAGTGCGAACACATCCAGTCGCCAACTTGTTGGAACAAGTCTATGAAGTCAATGCTACAAGTCTGCTGCAGATTTTTTACAACTTGTGCGTTTTGCGTGTGTAGTAATCCTATACCTATGCCATCTTTCTGATCTGTATTCACTATCAACCTGCAGTTATCCAGTTCATCTGGTATCCCATCATTATCATCGTCAGAATCGCATTCATCTCCTGTCGGAATCACAGAAATCTTAGTTTCATCATGTGGTGGTGATACAGTGTCACAGAATAGAGACTATACAGAAGCCCAACTTCTTGGTTTTTCCTATGATTTTGGCGTAAATCAAAATACTGACGCCATTCCTAGCCAGTGCGCTTATGAGAGGCATGAACCCCCCTGATAATATTCAACATGGCGGACGTCCAGGGGGGAATGGCTGGGTAGACCTTCTGTGTGTCTTTATTCTGTGACAATGTCTTTCACCTCTGTAAGCAGGATTTCTGCAGTATACAGATATCTGATTATCACTCCACTGGCATGCCAAAGACTAGAGTGCTTCACTGTCGAGACTCGCCACAAAAACAGGGCCATAACCCCTCCAACTAAATATCGCTTGGTACGTCTCTGATCAAAACTGCAGGTGTTTTTCGTGTAATCCTGTTTTCTTGCATTAAAACCAGTCTAAGTCATTGAACTATAGTCTAAGGCATCACTCGATCTCTAGTTTAGATTTAACAGAACTATCCAGCTTAGTTCAGACTTGCCTTGTCCGTCTTTATCTGTGTCTAACTGGTCTGGATTGATGTTAAATAAACAGTTGTCTTTACTATCGTCCACACCATCTCTGTCACTAGGAGAAAATCAATAATAATACAGTTGTATTCAACTGTGAAGGAACAAGGTTGAGTTTCGATGAATGGCAAATGATGATTATCTTTATTAGTTCTTTACCCGTCATGGTCCGTGTCGCACTCATCGCCTTGTAGGTCGTTGTCTTTATCAACCTTCGCAATGGAGTTTAGTGTTAGAGAATGGATAAAGCTATCCAGTCTAAGTAGGTTGGCTAATTGATGAACTTATTACTGAATTGGTTCATTGATGTATTATTTACAACATGAATGGACGTGAATGTGGACATAAATCAGTATGATTCTGTATCAGATATACAAACTCCTTCACGCTCATGATTTCTTTTGTGTTTTCTTCATGAATTATTAATGAGTTTCACAATATATAAATTGATGAGTAACTTCGATTGGTTGACTTTTTCATTGATTATAAGATTCATTGATATGATTATTAATTGATGTTATCGTTTGATATGATTCATGGATTACCTTAGCAATAGAGAGATTCTTGATTGATAATTACCTGTTTAGGATTGGATACAAGTGGACAGTTATCGCAAAGATCACCAATGCCATCGCCGTCGGAATCCATTTGGTCGACATTTTTGACGTATGGACAGTTATCACTTGAAACAAAACCTGAAAATTTTGATATACAATGTACTTTTACAGTTTATGTCTCAGAGGTAAGCCAGTTCTTTATGTACTATTTAAAACATGAGCAGCAGTGTTTTATATTAGGTCTGATAAAACACACACTGCGAATGTTTTATACTGCTTCAAAAACGATCGATCTAGTAGTTCATCGGCGAAATAATTTTCAAAAAATACGTTGTGTAAGTCGAGAAAATCAAAGTGAAAGTTTATGTAAATCAAGGGAAATCTCCATCCATATAAAGATACGAATGAGGTTTTGAAATATCAATATAGCTAACCATCGCCATCATAATCATCACTACAAGCGTCTCCAACGCCATTCTCATCTGTGTCCTTCTGATTTCTATTCATTTCTCTGGGACAGTTATCACAGAGATCGCCAATTCCGTCCTTATCAACATCTTCTTGTGTGGGATTGTAGAGCTCTTCACAGATATCCTAGAAAAAAGTAGAATAAAGTTAAGTTTGAGGTTTAATTGCCATCCCCTGTTATAGATTTTCACTACAGGGAGAAATCTGCACTAGATGATACTTCCATAATTTCTACTCCCTAAACTACAGGGAGAAATCTGCACTAGATGATACTTCCATAATTTCTACTCCCTAACTACAGGGAGAAATCTGCACTAGATGATACTTCCATAATTTCTACTCCCTAAACTACAGGGAGAAATCTGCAGTAGATGATATACTTCCATAATTTCTACTCCCTAAACGAGTCGCTCTTCCAGTTCTGTCTAGAAGCATGTTCTGAGCCTTCTCTCTAGAGTTCCAGTGAAGGTCATTCTTATCGTCTTCCCTACTGATCTAATAGTAGTCTTCCCTTATATTACTATACAACTCTATTAGCTATGTGATCGTAAGCTGGTATTTAGAGGTCCAGTAGGGGTGTGTCTTGTATTTATACTCAGCGCTACTACATTCTCTAAGAAATCAGGGTTCTATAGTTGTTTTCAAGAAATGAGAAAAATCTTTCGGAAGAGTAAGCTCAGGAAACCTACGAGGATAAAAACGAATCATGGGACAACCTACCCTTTTATTTATAATTCCATCATTGTCTTTATCTGGGTCGCAAGCATCTCCAAGTTCATCTCCATCAGCGTTTTTCTGGCTACTGTTTGGCTTTGCAGGACAATTATCCTGGAAATTGAATCGCATATTTCAATACATGTGACTTTTCATGGAAAGTAGGGGAGGACACGACAAAATAAACTAGAATATGACTCGAGTAAACACAAGTGAAGATGTTTGGAAGATGAGTACCTTTCCACAAGTCGTCTTTTCACAACTGAGTTCTTCGTCTGGAAATCCATCAATGTCAGAATCTTTTCCACAAACATGACCATCACCAGCATAACCCACTTTGCACTACGACATTTTGTAGAAAATGTTATTTGGCTCACTAGTAAGCGCGTTATTTTTTCAGTGTAAACTCCGTGTTTAACACTTTGTCAGTGCCCTTCAAAATTTCTTACAAATCCTTCTCAAATTCATTAATAATTCATGAGCAATTCAGCCAATGATAATCACCTATTTGATCACAAAATGCCATTTGGATACTTGATGAAAGTCACTAGTGTTTTCATCAAATATCTTAATTACGCATGCAAAATTACTTGAATAGAATTCCTAATTACGTTATGCTTGGTTAAGAATTCTATTCAAATCAGCAAACGAAAACATTCTGTTACGTCTCGATTCATTTGAGAAGCCATATAAACAACTCGAGCTCGTGTCTCACCGGGATATCCAAACACGAGAAAACAATGTATGATATCCCGGTGAAACACCCGCTCTCGTTGTTCATATATTACTTCAAAACTTAGGATTTACCGATGCAAAATTCCTACTGTGATCACAGAAACTTTGATAGTGCATATAAACCAGCCTAAACCCGATACTGGGCATGGTGATGAACTTCCGATATGTTAATTGGTGTGGATAAATCTTTCTCATTTATTTATTTGTGGACCAGTAACATTATTTTCTCACTCTGATAACTGGATATTTGACGAGTATTCATCTGCTGTATGCTAGTGCCTATATTTCATGAGTGAGTTCAGTTCAGCCTTTTGAACGATGGTTTTTAAGGCGCATTTGAGCCCTTTTAATTGAAAAAACTAACTAGGAAAATCAATTAAGCATAATTCAAAATCAGTAAACTCGATGTTTTTAACAATATAAATGTTTTAAAATGTTAAAAACATTAAGTTTGGTGATCTTGAATTATGCTTAATTGATTTTCCTAGTTAGTTTTTTCAATTATAAGGGCTGAAATGCGCCTTAAAAACCATCGTTCAACAGGCTGAACTGTGCCTTTAAGGCCTGTTTACACTTGCAACTTTGGCTGCGATTTTCTCCTTCTGACGGATGTGAAGGAGTAGATGAGTTATGAATGATCTGAATACATGTTCCCTCATCTGAAGATTCATAACTCATCCACTCGTTCACATCTATCAGAAGAAGAAAATCGCACCTAAAATCACAGCAAAAATTGCAAGTGTTAACGGGCCTTTAGACATACCTTGCAATGAGTTTCCCCACTTCTCTTATCAATAGAACAATCTATATAATTTTTGCAGTCTGGCTGGCCAGGTGAGCATTCTGTTCGCTTCAACACAATCTCTCGTAATAATGAACTCGGCTTAGTTGTGGTTGTAGCTATGCTGGTCGGCGCTTTAGTTATGGCAGCCATCGTCGTCGATGTTTTAGTTGTGGTCGCCATCGTCGTCGGTGCTTTAGTTGTGGCAGCCATCGTTGTCGGTGCTTTGATTGTGGTGGCCATTGTCGTCGGTGCTTTAGTTGTGGCAGCCATTGTCGTCGATGCTTTAGTTGTGGCAGCCATCGTTGTCGGTGCTTTAGTTGTGGTGGCCATCGTCGTCGATGCTTTAGTTGTGGTCGCCATCGTCGTCGGTGCTTTAGTTGTGGCAGCCATCGTTGTCGGTGCTTTGGTTGTGGTGGCCATTGTCGTCGATGCTTTGGTTGTGGCAGCCATCGTTGTCGGTGCTTTGGTTGTGGTGGCCATCGTTGTCGGTGCTTTGGTTGTGGTCGCCATCGTTGTCGGTGCTTCGGTTGTGGCAGCCATTGTCGTCGATGCTTTGGTTGTGGTCGCCATTGTCGTTGAAGTTTCGCATCCATTCTCCCCTGACACACACGAAGTACTTGGCGCTTGTAGATTCAGTAGTTTTGTTTGTATTTTGGAAGATTGTGGAATTTTTCTTGGCATAAATCTTGGCTGAAAGTTTCGTGGTGGTGGAGGTACGAATCGTTGTTGACACAGTCCGCATGTGCGCAACATTACTTTCATTTCTGTCACAACCTTTGTCGAAAAGAGAAATAGAATATTTTTGTGTCATTTACATGTCACTGTTGTGACTGGGGGAGTGGGGTTCCTGCTTCAGGGAGTTGTTTGATAGGTAAAGCGTCGCTTCAGTCACATGGGAGAAAGAAACTCTAGGTCTGTTCGATAAGGGAATGTTCTTTGCCGAACCTCTTGGGAGAATATTTTAAAACTGATATAGGGCTATCTAGTATTACCTTTTCGGTAATACTTTTTTCCAGTTGTTCGAGGTCATCTTTTGTTACTTCTATTCCTAAAACATATCATGATTACGTTATACGAGACCTTTCTGATGCTGTACAGAACTCACTGCTGAGTTAAGCATGGTTAGATTATGCAGAGGTAGTACATGTTCCTGAATGTGGGCTACCTTTAGCTAAGTGATCAGTGATGTTGTACAGAACTCACTGCTGAATTAAGCATGGTTAGATCATGCAGAGGTAGTACATGTTCCTGAATGTGAGCTATAAAGTGATCTGATTCGTTAAAAGGTTTGAATCCAGGTTCATTCAATTTTTTTTTTTGTTTTATTGTTCTTCTAGATTATTACAAAATTAAATAAGTTTTGTCTGACGTTTCTGTTTCCTATACGAAAACCATTTTCGAAGACTTGGACGTTCAAGTCTTCGAAAATGGTTTTCGTATAGGAAACCGAAACGTCAGACAAAACTTATTTAATTTTGTAATAATCTAGAAGAACAATAAAACAAACAAAAAAGTGATGTGATGTTGTACAGAACTCACTGCTGAGTTAAGCATGGTTAGATCATGCAGAGGTAGTACATATTCTTGAATGTGAGCTACCTTAAAGTGATGTGATGTTGTACACAACTCACTGCTGAGTTAAGCGTGGTTAGATCATGCATTCAGAGGTAGTACATGAATATGGGTTATCCTGAAATGACTTGTTGTTTTATCAGATAGGACAAGTTTTGTGAGGAAACTACAATCGAAGCTTCTACTGTGTTAACAATGACAGATCATGCCTCAGGTCATTCGTTCTTATTACATAACACATATCAAGGTCGCACGAATATATATTTGAGATTTTTCCAGAGCGAGTTGCCTTGAGAATGCATGACCTTGCATTCCTTTAATTTGTTTTTCCTGTCCACATCTGGTTGTGGTTTTGTTGTTATCTTTTACTCGGATTTTTTCCTGTTGACGCAGGGCCGCAGGCGTTGGCAATATATCATGTTCTGTCATTTATCGTTAAACTAGAAACATCTCGAGTCAGACCGCGAGCCTTCATTTTCACTGTCGTTAAAATATAATGTACTATTTAAAGCACGCGTAGGAGTGTTTTCTCACATATAAAACACGACGCGTAGCGGAGTGTTTTATATATGATAAAACACGACTGCAAGTGCTTTAAATAGCTTCAAAAACGACTCATCTTATACGAGTTCATTGGCGAAGTAATTTTTAAAATAAACTTTGTCTAAACCGAGAAAATCAAAGCTAAAGTTTATGTAAATTAACGTGATTTTTTATCACATATAAAACCACGACACGCTTATGATTTTTCTTTGTGTTTTGCTCCTAATAATAATAATAATAATAATAAACATTTATATAGCGCACAAACCAAGACTGTTCTAGGCGCTTTACAGTAATACAAAATCCAATCTTAAAACTAGTGTTAAGAATGTTAAAACTATAGAATACATCATACACTATTTAAAAACAAGTTAAAAAGATATGTTTTAAGAAACTTCTTAAAAATGGTTAATGATTCACACATCCGAAGATGAACAGGTAAATCATTCCACAATCTTGGTCCAGCAACACCGAACGATCTGTCTCCGTATGTCTTTAGTCTAGAATAAGGAATCTGGAGCAATTCATTTCCATTTGATCGAAGAGTACGCTGCGAAGTACGACACAGCATAAGTTCCTTCAGATACGATGGAGCAAGATCATTAACAGCTTTGTAGACAAGAAGTATAATCTTGAATTGAATACGGTATTGGACAGGTAACCAATGCAATTCGATAAGAACTGGGGGGATATGCGCCGATTTCTTAGTATCAGTTAGTAAACGAGCTGCAGTATTTTGGACTCTCTGAAGCTTCTGAAGCAAATATTTGGGTACACCATACAACAGGGAGTTACAATAATCCAATCTTGAAGTTATAAATGCATGAATAATTATTTCTAAGCAATTTCGAGGTAGATACTTCTTAATTCTTGAAATATTCCTAATATGGTAGTAAGCTGACTTGCAGATACCATTAATATGTTCGCCCAATCTGATCCACTCATCAAAAATCACCCCCAGATTTCTTGCTGAAACAGTTGGCACAATTTTTTCCTTTCCCACCATGATATAATTTAAGGGAGGCATCAGATGATAGCGTGAATGGACTAATATAAGCTCCGTTTTGCCACTATTTAGTTTCAATTTATTCAACATCAACCAGTTTCCCAATTCAAGTATACATTTCTCCATACGGATCTTAGATGATATTAAATCATCACGATCATTCGTTTTGAATGCAATGTAAAGTTGCCCATCATCAGAAAAAAAGGGAAAGCGCAGATTGTGGCGCCTAGCAACATCCGCGAGAGGGGCAGTATAGAGTGAATACAACAGAGGACCCAACACAGATCCCTGAGGTACACCACAATCAAGATCACTCAATAACGAATCAGTTCCCTCAACACGAATAAACAGTTTCCTGGATGTAAGGTATGAGGTAAGCCAATCCAACACACGACCCCTTATGCCAAAGCGTTTCGATAGTCTTGTTAATAACATTAAATGATCCACGGTGTCAAAAGCCGCAGATCCAGTAGGACAAGAATAACAGAATCACCGTTATCTAGAGCTTGAAGGATATCATTTTGAACCCTCAATAGCGCTGTTTCAGTACTATGACAAGGTTTATAAGCAGACTGGAATTTCTCATGTAGATGATTTTCAGTAAGATAATCAGTTAATTGTACAGCAACTGCTTTCTCAATAGATTTCGAGACAAATTTCAGATTTGATATTGGACGAAAACTGCAGAATTCTTCATAGGAAAGATTGTACTTTTTTAATAGCGGTTGAACAACAGCAATCTTCAAAGAGTCAGGCATTGTACCACTTTCCAGGGAATTATTAATGAGTTTTTGAAGTTGTTAGTGAACCATGCGTGATGGCAGATGGTGAGAAATTAGAGTTCACTGGAAATTACTTGTGCTAAATACCAACATCGTTTTGCCTGCGGTGAAAATTCAAACGCGCACGCCACCAGACACCAGTGCAAGCGAACACGTCGTTTACACGCAAACGAACGATCGACGCACGCAAGCAAGCAAGCACGCACGTGAACTGTTGATCGCACGCACACGCCATCCGAGAACAAACTTGATTTCAATCGCCTGAAGATCGTATCGTCTACGACACAGAATATATGCCAAGCAAATGTTCGACTCTTTGTCGATACTCGGAGTCTTCACCTCCCAGTGGATTTCGTAGGGGGGGTAGGGGAGGTGAAGATAGCCACTATGCTAGGGAGAGGTTAGACTGCGAGCGGTCCCTCCTTTCCGCGGGTTTAGATTTCCGGGCACGAGAAAGGAAAGGAGGGACTGCCGACTGCAGACAACACATTTAAAGAAATGAAATCCGCGTTGCCCACACAACACAGAATTCCCATTGGTCGAAATCGATACGCCTGTCAATCAAATCTGATATGTAGTATTATAATTATGCTATATTGCTATAAATAATTTCCAGAGTGAATGTTGATTTTATACAGGGTGTGTCAAAATAAAAGTAATCGAACGTCAGCGCGCTATTACTGCGTCATTACTGCGTATGAAGGAGATTTTTTCATCTTCGGAAAGATCAGGCTTTTAGCTGTTGAATGATATGTTCTTCATGCCAAATGGATAAAAAATAAGCAAGTACGATTCTGATAAAAAATGCTAGTCAGATCGCATATTTTCACCGTTGTAATGTGCGATTCTGACTAACATTTTTATGCTTCTTGCTGTGTTGTCTGCGGTCCCTCATTTCTTCGAGGGACCACTCGCGGTCTAGGGAGAGGTCGTCACCCCCTTACTTCTAGACTTTGGAGGGTAGGACTGTCGGCACAAATTTGAGTTGTGGCCTGCTAAATTAAGTTAACGCTTTTTAAACCTACCACAAACTGATTCATAAATCATGATAGAAATGTTGAAACTATATCTGACAGAAAATTGATACTCGATAGCACTTTTCAAAGATTTGTAAAATCGGTATTAATTATCCAATTATAATTTCTTAAATTACTATTAGCCTTCCATTGTAAACTGTTTGCCTTTTTTTGGAGTGATGGTCATGTACTGCAGCAAAATTGACTTCTTTGATAATTTTTGCCTCAAATTTGTTATAGTCGTGACTTGCTTCGGTCTCCAGACATGCATTCATACGAAAAGAGTCCGTCAACGCCGCAAGTCGAGTGTTTGTTTCGTGTACTCCGGTTTCCTCCCGCAGGGAATATTGATTGGGTGGTTTAGCATATACACAAGTAAATAGTTGACGAACCCATCAGCATTACCTGAAATTGAACGAACTTTGTAGATATGATGGAACTACCTGAAAATACAAAACGAACTTGGACGTTTTGAGCCCAAGTGGTAATCATGCAGTTCCAGACGAAGAGCCTTTTTGCACTTTCCAAGACCAAGTATAGTTTGCAGTAATGTATTCATTACCTACACTGGTACCTGCCGTTCGAGATGTGATCAAATAAATATTTCATCATCATTAGTTTATACTATATAAGAACTACTTGTATCAGCTCAAACAGTTTATCTGAAGAAAAATGTTCTGCCATGAAGAACCATGCTTCAAAAGCGAGAATGGGCTCATGTACGTCATGTCGCTGTGGCAATACAAAACAAACTGCACGATAGTCTCATGATAAAGATAGATCATGCCTTAAACACAGTGTAATATTCATGTAAACTTTCTCTAACTTTGCATTGCAATCTTTTCTAAAAACTTTCAACCTGTTACCTTCACTAGAAGTGCACGATAACCACAGCACCAACATCAAACATGTCAGTTCTTTCCATATAACCATCTTTGCTCTACTTGGAATTTGCCACAAATGATATTCGAAAAAATGTTATCTTTCAAATGTTTTTTACATGAAAAAACAGGCGTAACTGATGTGCTAGGAGCATGCACCCTTCTTATATATAGTATAATTAAGACGAAACTTGAGATGGTAGCAGACCGCTCCAGATGGTTTGTGCCAGCGTACTGAGCGTAGGTAGTGACAAAAACACCACGGGAAACTGAGGATTGATAGAAATTCAACTACCCTGAAAAATACAAGCAGAACCGAAGGCTCTTCGCCCCTACTAACTTCGCGACGAAGGGCCTTCGCTCGAAACGTCGAAGTTTCTATTTTTCAAGTATTTGGATCCCTATCCTCAGCTCCAGATGGTGCATACTTTTACCAACATTTTGCTGGGAAAACCTTGGCAAGATAAACCTTAGAAATGATTGTTTGTGCAACTTTGGTACTGTGCCGAAAAGGCTAGAGGCCCCAAGAGTTTCATATGTTCTGACATGTTGAAAGTAATACTACACACCACAGAAGACAAAACGTTTGTTTAACGTTTTAGTCATGCAGAAACTGGTAAATGACCATTGGTTAGGTCGTAATTAACATGTGTTTATTGGGTCGTAATTAACATGTGTTAATGAAAGTATATTAAACAACCATCAACATGCAATGACTATAAATAACCAGTGATAATTAACTTAGACGGAGGAAAGTAAAGACTGAAATAAATTCTGAACTCAATGAAAGTTTACAAGCGAGAGTTTATATACAAGGGCGGGGGGGGGGGACGAGAGTTCTGTTCCTTTCCCCTGTCACGATTTGTCTAATCTGTCTTTGTCTTTAATTGGTTTGTATCATGTACAAAGTGACAAATTCATTATATTATTATATTATATTACAAGTTCTAAATCGAACAAGCAATTACATTCACGATTGTATTCCTTGCATAGTTCCATAGTCATGTGCGCGTACAAAGAGTTATGTTAGATTGTGTTATATTTTTATCAAATTGAAAAATAATTTCCGTGACACAGTTCCAAAATTTTTAACATACTTTTGATTGGTTTGGGTGTTGATGTGCGGTCAGTCTGGTTATAATTTCAGGTGAGGGATCGCTTCCAGTTTGATTTCAGAAACACTTTTGAACTCATAATGTTATCCAATAAATGGTGATGATATCAATCAAATTGTTTTTTTCGTACTGAATCGTTAGGAGCAGTGGCGGAAATCTTGGGAGGGGTGGCCGCACCCCCACCTTCCGGAAAATTGACGAATTTTCGGAAATTTTGATCTATAAAGAGGGCTAAAAACAATCTTTTCGAGTGCAAATGGGGGGGGGGGTATGTCGGAAATTTGAAAGTTTTGTCGGAAATTTAGGAGGCTTTGCCCCCCCACCGGAAAAAGTGAATTTCCGCCACTGATTACGAGAAATATGCGTCCACTAACATATCCAGTCAAATGCCAAATGTAAGATCAGTTGCATAAATTGCGCAATATCTCTTTGTCGTTCCCATTCTCTTCGCAACTTTTCCCATCATACTTCGCGCGGTCCTTTCCAAAATTTCTCAATTTCGCACGAGGCAGACAGAATATTTTAGAAAGATTTTTAACAAATTTGACTGTTAAATCCGTACAAAAATGCCTCGAGGAGACGATAACGGGTAAGTTTAATACTAAATTCATCTTTTGAGATGTTTCTGTTGTTCGTAGAGTATTTTTTTGTGGCGATTTTTTTGACTAATTGACTTGAGATTTGCATCATTGTAAAAATAGTCCATATGACCACATTTCGCCAATCATAATATATAAATCAGGCATTTGAGTGTGTGTGATAAGTGTATATTAAGTAGATTTATGTATTTTTTAGGAAAATTTTTGTTGGTGGATTAAGTTATGAGACTACAAAAGGTTAGTAAAAGTTGACATCTGAGGCAAGTAGGCAACTTCCTACATTTGCCACAGAATAGACGATACAGAAGCCCGACTTGGTTTTTCCTATGATTTTGGCATAACCGTAATTTGTCATCAAAATGCAGACGCCATGGCACATTTGAGATCCATTTACCCCCCTGAAAAGATTCAAAATGGCAAACATCCAGGGGGGGTAATGCCTCTCATAAGTGCACTGGCTAGGCCCATGGCATCAGCATTTTGATGATGAATTGTGGTGTGGTAGCGGTTACCCGAGTTGACCTTCTGTATGTCTTCATTCTATGATTTAGCTGTGCTCAAATTTGTCCCGGTATAATCTGATCTAAATTGACGTCATCAATTTTTCATCTCAATCTTTCCTTGGGGGCCAGTGTGACGTCATAATTGTAAAATTGGAGAAGCAGTGTTTTATAATAATAATTATTACACTTTATTTTATTGGTAGGGATGCAGCTACCTCAAAAATACATAGCGAAATTCAACATTTTGAGCAAAGTCCCTTCTTTGGGAAGTTAGGTGTAAAAAAAACCCTGTGGTTCCGGTTCCCGACTGACCCTATTTTTTTCTGCCGACCCTATTATTTTTTCAACGCGATTGACCGTGCGGCCCCATTTTCTCCAGGTGGTTGCGGGCTGCTCGTACAGCGTGGGAAAATGGCATCTGTTGTCACACTAATTATTGAACCAAATTGCCTAAATTCCTCCATAGGAAATGCGCATCTCTAGTTAATATTGATGTCCGGACTCTACTGCAAATCGCCCAGCAAAAAACCACCAAAACCATGAAAAAATATCAAAAAAATATATATATTTCTGACCTACCGACCCTAATTTTTTCACAATATGAAACCGGAACCACAAGTAATTTTTTTTACGCCTTAGTAGAGATGAAGGGCCTTTGCTCGAAACGTCAAATTTCGCGCTTTGTATTTTTTCCAGGTAGTTGCATCCATACCACCCCCCACCCCCACCCCCACCTGCTCTTGGTGGCCCTGGATGGAATAACCTAGTATGGCAATAATTGTATTCTTTCAGAGGGTCTTGAGAACTACTTCTCCAAGTTTGGTGAGATTGGGGATTGTGTCATCATGAAAGCAAAAGACCAGGCTGACCCACGCATTGAACGATCTAGGTAATGCATACTTTATCTTAATTTAATACATCCTTTCAGAAAGTATGATATCTTGGCTTTAATAATATAGCCTTGTTTTCGTTAGGGATGAGCCGATTAATCGGTACGGCCGATAAATCGGCCGATATTTGGCGTTTTCAAAATAATCTGTAATTGGCCGATTATTTTTTATAATCGGCTATTTGTCGATATTCGCAATTTTTTCGTTTTTTTTAAGAAAAATAACTCTATAATCTAGTAATCTACACTCCGTCTTGTTTTTGACATTTTTGTTGTGCATATTTAATCCCATATCCATTAATTCATTTGACTCGTACAGTGATTGATAATTGTCCAATATGAGTAAATATTTTCTGGAACACACTAAAACTAGTACGTCAATTTGTGGCGTATACACAAGTATTAAAAGTTGTCAAAAAACCTTTATCCGGGGCTTGTACCCCGGTACACAGAAATATCGGCCATAGCCGTTTTCATGATTACGACATGTGAATTTAGCTGATGTCACATACATGAAAACGAGTGTGTAGCCAAAATGATATACTATCCGAAAGGGTGTATTGATGAAGAAGGGTGTATTGATGTAGGGTTTCTGTTTCCACATTACAAAAATTAAAAATTGATGTTTCCATTTAGTTTCCATGAATGGAATGTGAGAATATTTTCTCTTTAATGTGAACCCTTGGAATGTGATAATTTAATGGTAATTCTGTTTTTAGAGGATTTGGTTTTGTGACTTTCCATGATCCAAGCTGTGTTCAACAGGTCATTGACAATCGGCCACATTATTTGGATAACAAAGAGGTGCAGAACTTGTATTTGCAGTAGTTTATTCGACTTTATATTTTGAGTACTGTATAATGTGATTTTCAATGTGTATTGGGCAGAACTAATGACATTGATTTCTTTTAAAATGAGAATTTTATCAAGTGGTCATATATATGGAAAAAATAAAAATGTTTTACAATTAAGTGATAGCCATGCACAAAAATACTCTCCCTAAATGAACCCCAATTTTCTTCATTTTGTAGATTGACCCAAAACCAGCAGTTCCCAGAGCGCCAGGAAGTGCAGGCCCGGTATGTTTACAATTTTATCTCGTATATTTTAGCAAGGCAGCCACATGCTCATAATTTGGAGCAGTTTGATCTACATTCAAACATATTGTATTTGCATTTCTCAATCGACAGATGCCTATACCAAAGACGTCAGGCAGTCGAAGTTTCAAGATTTTTATCGGAGGTGTTGCTCAGGGCACTACAGAAGATGATTTGAAGAATTTCTTCCAAACATTTGGACCAGTAAGTAACTTGCTTAGGACAACTTATAACTCATCATGACTTCACCATAGTTACAAAAAGGTGAAGCTGGATACCCTAGTCACTTGCCAATTTTGGCCATGTATTGAGTTGTGTATTTCATTCAAAAGGTTGCAGACGTATCACTGATGAAAGATGTGAAAACCGGTCGTATGAGGGGTGAGTTACGGTTTGTTGTTGTTAGTACAGTAGGTAATAGGGTTTAGTTTGTGCTCATAGTCGTATCATTATCGTGGGTAAAATTTTTCTGTCATGTTTTAGCCTTTAATTATGTTACTTATAGACAAGTATGAGTTAAATTTATTATACTAGTTCCATGACTTCCTAAGTGAAGTTACAAAAGCATGCCAAATTAATGCAAGTCTTGTTTCTGGGTTACCCATATGTACGAGTCAAATATATGTGAGGTCATTTCCTTCCCTGGGCAACCCCAGGTGGCATTTGACTCAAGTATGCCCTAGGGTTTGCCCAGGGAGTGTGGGGAGGGAGGCATAATCATGATGGATTTGACTTGTACATTAATTGTGTATTGGTATGTTTATTATTAGATTAACTAATATATTTATCACTTATTATATTATAGATTTAGTCCTCAAATTCTACTCTATAGTTTCTAGCCATACTTCCTTGGTTAACTATACGTTCAAAATTATATAAAAAATAGAGCTCGCTCGTAAAAACTATTTTCCCCGGCACCATTCATTAGCTATGGTCTTTACAATCTAAAATTTATCAAAATTATCTTTAGTTATATATTATAGAAATTGAATTACCATACCATAGGCATAGTTGTTTTCGATTCTTAAAATATTTAGATTTTTACTATAGTTTCAACAAAAAATATCTGGTATTTTAGTACAGTATACTATAGTCATACTATAGATTTACTACAGTACTATAAGATTATTTTGAATTAGGCTACTATAGTTCTCATGACAAAATGTTTAGCAGCCAAAAGAAAATGCTAGCTAGGTTTACTATAAGCTACTGTAGGTTTAGTAACACAGGAATATTTACATAGTATTTCGGAAATGCTGTAGAGCTTTAGTTTTTCTGCTCGATCATCACCAACTGTGATTCAACGTTTTAAATGGTAAAATGATGGTGAGGCCACCATTTAAATGGTGAAATGAAGGTTAACCATTGGAAGTTTTGCTGGGCAAGTTTTTTTAAACATCTTGGTGTGTTGTGTCTAAGGATTTGGATTTGTTGGCTTTCATACGGAGGACCCTGTCACGAAGATTTGTGCCATTCGTTATCATCAAATCAATGGAAAAACGGTGTAGTTTATTGTTCTCTATCTTCAAATAAAGCAGTGTTAATGACCTTGCACAAGTGACAGAATGAACTGTATTGCAAGAAAATTTTTTGGCCACTTAAAAAATATGTACAAAATGATGAATTAACCGGATTAATATCATTTGTGATAACAATCTAATTCTTTATCGACTGCTGACTCAATTGGAAATTCTTTGCTTGTCCATGACCATTTCACTGCTTTACATTTTATATCTTTAATTTAATACTATTATCTTTAGTGCTTATTATTTAGTCTACCATAAGCTAGTTTAAGTTTTAATTAATATAGTTATTATAGTTAAGGAATTGTTTTTTATTTTGAACTACTGTAGTTTATTTTTATTACTAGGATACTGTTAGTTATATTTGTTTATTTTAATAATTATATCTGCCAGTTATATTTAATTAAAATTGACTTTGATGCCCTTGTTTGTAATGTTAAAGAGTCATTTTTGTGTAAACCAAACAATGTTGTTAAAACATAAAATTTATAGCAATTTTTTATTGTGTTTGAATATAATTCGGTTGTTTTGTAGGACACACTACATTTACATATTGAGCAAAACATTTTTGAAGTAAAATATCTCATTCAGCTTTGACATTTGACCATGAAAAATTAAATAAAATTGGCAGTTTATGTAGTGCTAAGCATGAGTTCTAAACAGTTAAATGTTTTCTGAATAGGTGGAGGCTAAGAAGGCGGAGCCAAGAGACAGCCGTACACCCTCGGTGATTGGTGGAAATGCTGGTATGGGCCGTGGTATGGCAGCAATGCAAAGTCCTTATGCACCAGGTAAATTTTGTTGCAGATATGAGCCAGAGACGGATTTTCGTTCGGGGGGGGGGTGGATAAATATTTGGGGGGGATGCTGCTGCTTGCTTTGGCCGGGGCCTGGTGGCAATGCCCGGAAAGGCCAAGGAAAAAGTTTAACAAAATTTGCAAAATTATTTCTGGGGTGCACCCTCGAAAATCTGTGCCTGATATGAATAAGAAAGCTTCGGATTGATAGCGATACAGCTACCTGAAAAATACAAGGAGAACTTCAATGTTGTGAGTGAAGGCCTTTTGTCGATTCCAAAAGAAGGGCCTTCGCTCAAAACATCAAAGTTCTCTTTGTATCTTTCACCTCTGAAACTGAACGGTTGTTTGATCGTAATTTAACCTCGATGACATGTGTACTTCAACTTGGCCCTTTGGAAGTTGAAAGAGAACTGACTGTAGAACTATACATTTGCCACTTAGTGTTACTTGGTTATTTGATGTCAATAATAACTACAGTGTCAATGTTGGCAGAAATAAACTGGATGTTGATGGTGTCTTTGAGCATTTCATTATTGAATGTGCTTTCATTGTCACTTCCTACACTACACCATTGAGTTCTCTTATTAGATGTTCTCTGGGAACTTCAAGTCCCTCCTTTGGTATTATCTAATACCTATGTCCCTCAGAACTGATAGAGCTATCCAGTACAGACTAGATTTGTTTAGTTTTAGTTTGTTTAGTTATTATTAGATGTTCTCTGGGAACTTCAAGTCCCTCCTTTGGTATTACCTAATACCTATGTCCCTCAGAACTGATAGGGCTATCTAGTACAGACTAGATTTGTTTAGTTTTAGTTTGTTTAGTTCTTATTATTAGATGTTCTCTGGGAACTTCAGGTTTCTTCATTGGTATTACCTACGGCTTTCAGAACTGATAGAGCTATCTAGTACAGACTAGATTTGTTTAGTTTTAGTTTGTTTAGTGTATACAGTGATAGTGAAATGGTCATTTCTCTACAGCTGCCTATGGTATGGGTGCTTATGGTGGTGGTGATGCTCGCAGTATTTATGGTGCAGGATATGGTGCTCAAGCAGTTTCAGCTCAAGCAAGTCCTTATGGTGTACCTGGTGCCTCCGTGCCAGTTTCACAATACTCTGGCTATGGTACGTATTGAAATGGATGATTTTACAGGGATGGATTTACTGGGGGCACAGTTGATGGGCAGGTTGCGCACATGACCGACATAACTCTGCACCAGAGCTGGCAGAGCACCCAGATCATGCTTGATCCATCCTTGCACTCTTACGCTATTGTTGTGTAGAAAGCATGGATAGCACAGGCAATTAACATGGCTATATTTTGTGTGTAGTTTCTGGCGGCAGTGTTACAGCTATACCAGCTTCGTATGTGGACAGAACTGGAGCAATGGGGCAAGATCCTACTGCTGGACAAGCTTATGGAGGTTTGTAGTTAGAACGGATAATGCGGCCTATCTAAAGTCGCTCGGTATACTTTGATGTTGGTGGTCAGTACATGTGTGTGAAAGGCTTCAGTACATGCAATATAAAGATGTCTGATTAGACTTCAGATTTCACTTCAGGTTACACTGTATATACTGGATAGCTTTCCGTAGCGACGTGAAAAAACAGCTATCCATACCTTTTAGGAACGCTATTTTCAGAGCAATTATTGCAACAGAGAGATGTTGTTTCACTCTGCTTCTGAAAGTTGTATATTCCGTATCGGATAGGTGCCTTCGCGCCACTACGGAAATCTATCTGGTATAGTGGAAACGTAGCTTTAGTCGTGGTGTCAGTTTGACAAAACATCACCAGTTTTCTCCGGGTAATCTTCCATTGCCACACCAGGCGTTACGTGGTTATTTTGATCAGTAATAACTGCAGTATCATTGTTGGCAAAGAGAAAATGGATAATGGTGATATCAAAGAACGCTTCAACTTATAATTTGATGGGGTTCTTGGTATCTTATCCAATATATGTTAGCGTCGACGTCTTGCTCCAACCTTCAACCGAAGCGAAGCATATTTCTTTGTTTCCTGAGAACTATAGGCTTGTTAACTTTATCAAAGTCTCTGTGATCACAGTAGGAGTTCTGCATGGGTAAATTCTAAGTTCAGAAGGATTTGTAAGAAGTGCTTACAAATCCTTCAAAACTTAGAATTTACCTATGCAAAATTCCTACTGTGATCACAGAAACTTTGATAGTGTAAACTAGCCTATGGTCCTCTATGAACTGTCAGTGTGGATGCAACTAGTTGAAAAATATAAGGAGAAATTCGATGTTTCGAGCGAAGACCCTTCGTTTGATGTTTCGAGCGAAGGCCCTCCTTATATTTTTCAGGTAGTTGCATCCCTAACAACGAAAGCTTGTTTAGTTCTCTATACTCGGTGATCAAAATCAAATTGATTTAACTTGATGTTCCTATCTTTCTTTCCAACAGCTTACGGTGCATCAATGGGAATGTATGGTGCGGTGGGAGCTCCTACTTCAGCAGCTCAGTCACGTTACAGTGAATTCACAAGCGTAGCTCAGGGGCAACCCATGTCGTCACAAGCAGGTGCGATACCGACCCGCAGTGAAATAGCTGCTGCAGAATACGGCGCTGGTTATGGTGCTTATGGTATGTAAAATAATGTTGTGTGTACATTTGATGGGTTTCAGGCCAGCAGATAGCAACAGATGAACTTCCGAAATTTGATGCGAGAAAATTAAACTACGTCTTCCAATTGGACTTATTTGCTCACTTGTGATAACTACAAAGTTTCTGTGATCACATGAGTAGGAATTTTGCATGGGTAAAGTCTTAAGTTTTGAATGATTTGTAAGACATTTTTGAGGGCACTGACTCATTGATAACACTGAGTGAGTTTCCTCAAACATTTCTTACAAATCCTTCAAAACTTTGAATTTACCGATGCAAAATTCCTACTGTGATCACAGAGACTTTGATAGTGTACACCAGGCTTGAGAGAGGCCAGTTTAGAATTGGTGAATTGGAGGTAAATTGCTCAGAAATACTTCTACACCATATATCTCTTTCCTAGGTCTTGGCAACTACGCTCAAGAAGCATCTCAATATGGTCCGACACGTGGTGGTCTGTCTGAAGCAGCTTTCGCTGGTGGTGCGGCAGCAGCTGCTGCTGGTGTACCAACCAGTGTATATGGTGGTGAACCTGGTGGTTATCCTTCTGCTAGTATGTATGATGGTATGGGACGTGGTGGTGGTGGTGGTAATGCTTCCCGTGGTTACCATCCGTATGGACGATAGACGAACTGATAGTTCCCGGAGAAAACTTTGTTTTTCACTTCATTTTATTTGGAATAGGATTTCCAATAACTTTTTAGGTTTTATAGTAGAGATATAATAGTGCGTTGTTGGCCATTAATGGTGAAAGATATCTTAGTCTAGATAGGGTATGGCTTGTTTTCAAACGTGGATGTACTACAGACCTACTGGCGATCGCATTTTTATGCCCCTTACCACTGGGAGAAAGAAAATGTCCCATCTTAATTGTACATAACAATGACTATGAGATAACAAAATGTTGTGAATTTTCTTGTTTTTTTCCCTGCTCTCTTGGAGGAATAGTCATTCCCAAGAATTTTGGAAACCAAAACACCAAGTAAAGTTGGGGTTGCTAATCTTGCAGCTGAATGGTGTATGAGCGACTCACTCCTAGCCTGCTTGCTGCCCTCAACCCGAAGGTTGGCCGTGGCCGTTGTCTGATGCGATTTAACCCATCAATCGATGTGGTGTTAATTTGAATATTTTAAATATAAATATAGTTGAAACTAACGGCTTTCAGAGATCGAGTGCGCTGCATCTGTGAAATTGTGCGAATAAGACCCAAATTCTGCTCTGTCTTTGCTGATACTCCTTTAGGCTATATACTGTACCTAACATACTAGCCTCGTACCAGGCGCTTTGAATTGCTACGCGTCGCGTGAAGAGCGCGCGGGACGACACAAATTTGCGGGACAGCTACAATTCCACGCGCGCATCAAGCAGGCTGATAACATGCTCTTCGTGGTGAAAAACTAAACGTACCACATGAAAAATGTAGGCATAGATTTCTTAGATGACATACGTTCTCCTTATGTCGTAAGTTGCGTTGTTAACCTCATTGATGTGATTGTCGTTTGCGCATGCTCAGCGTCATAACCAATGAGATTCCCGGAATCGAGCAGATCCTTATATCACTGTCTTTCACGAAGTACGTCCTAGGCAAAAAGCAATATGGCGGCTTTCAACAAGCTTGTGGTGAAAAGTTATCCGAGAATTGCCAGTCGAGAAACAAGTGATACGAAATTTTGGAATAAATACAGTGTAAGTAGAAGATTTAGAATTTTTTTATTCCTGGAGTAAACTGCTTTTGAAGTAATATAAAATATGTGTATTAAAGAAGTTGTATTTAAAAATTAGGTTTTAGTAAAAACGTGGACAGACCAAGGACAGTGGTCACAGAAGGCGTTATCACATGTATTCATTCATCCTAAACTAGATTTCAGTGTTTAACTGCTCTGTCTGAGACAATTATTATGCCTGTATATATACAATATTAGAACTGACTCTGGCCAACCCTATAAACCCATGCCAAATCTGGCCAACCCTAACCCATGCTAAACTTGGCCAACCTTAACCCATGCTAAACTTAGCCAACCCTAACCCATGCTAAACCTGACTAACCCTAACCCATGCTAAACCTGGTCAACCCTAACCCATGCCAAATCTGGCCAACCCTAACCCATGCTAAATCTGGTCAACCCTAACCCATGCTAAACCTGGTCAACCCTAACCCATGTTAAACCTGGCTGACCCTAACCCATGTTAAACCTGGCTGACCCTAACACATGCCAAACGTTTGGAAATGCAGAGCACCGGAGATTTTGAAAAATATTTAATAGTAAATATATAAGAAAGCATCAAAATTGCACGCCTGATATTGCCGTGTGATACAAACTTCCACACTGGGCTGGCCTTAACCTATGCTGACCCTAAACCTGCCTTGTCCTAATCAATCAGTTAATAACTTGTTGACAAGGAGTCGAAATATGCCTTTTTGATAATTACGTCACAATTCTCTTCTCTTTAGTTTCCAATAACAGTGAAAGAATCTTCCAGCATTAACTATATAAACTTCAGTCCAAGCCAACCACATGACTTTGCTGTGACAAGTGCAAATAAGGTAGCTTTTTGTTTATAGTCAATAGTAATGTGAAGTTCTCCTTGTATTTTTCAGGTAGTTGCATCTCTACCAATTAATCAAGGGCATCAGTCCTGGAGGGGGAGAGGACATGCCCCTCACTTTTTAGACATTCGTTATATAATCTATTAATAATAAATTACGTCCATTGATTGGCTTTGTCCCCCCTACTTTTGGGAATGAAATCAAACAAGTATGCATGTAACTTTTAAAGCACACCACCCAAGACCACTTCTTAATTTGTGCGTCAGGTTCAAATCTATAGTTCAACAACAAATGAAGTGAAGAAAACACTGTCAAGATTTAAAGAAACTGCTTACAGTGGTTGTTTCCGTGGTGACGGCAAACTTCTAGTTGCTGGAACTGAAGATAATTCTGTGAAGGTTAATATAAGTTTCATAAAAAGTTTATTGGGCATTGGATATTTAAACGTTACTTGGTACATTATTTCCCAACTTCACTGATGTTAAAATTTGTATGATTTAGGTATTTGATGCAAATAGCAGAGTTGTTCTCAGAGAATTTTCAGGCCACACTCGGTAAGGCTGCAGCTCATTGAAACAAGTATGGGCAAGAAGGCTAGTTTCTAATGACATTTCCTGTGAAACTATTAAGAGCCAATGTTGCATTTCACTTCATTAAATTAATTAACTAACATTTTCTGTCGCTAGAGCTGTCCACAGCACGCGGTTTTCTCTTGATGGTCTGCATGTCATATCTGCCTCAGATGACTGCAGTGTACGCTTGTGGAATCTTTCAGGAGAAAATGAAATATTTGCAGTGACAGAACACAAGGTACAATTGTCGCATATGAAAGTTTTTCCCAGATAATTGTATGCTTCAATTTAGCAATGATTGTGCATGGGCCTTGAGTTGATATTATTAATAACTGATTTGACTGTATTATTTAGGATTACATTCGTACATCTGCGCTAAACAATTCAAGCAAGGATATCTGGTTGACAGGTTGGTGTTTTTTTTTGCTAAGGCCTGTTTCAAATGTCACGCTTCTCATGTGCTTACTGCATTAGAAACAACAGATAATGAGGCATTTCAGCTGATTATCTATTGTTTTTAATGCGTTCGGCACATGAGAAGCACAACGTTTGAAACAGGCCTAAGATACGAGTGGAACTAAGACAATTAGAGATGTTTACGGCAGACCTCAAACTGCAAACTTCAAATTGCATTTAGTAAGTTCTACATGTTTTTGACAGCCTCAAAATATGATTCAAAGTTTGCTGTTCATGGTTAACAGTCTGCTGTAAAGTCAATCTTCAGGTCTCTAATAAATGCTTAAAGATAGTTCAGACACCAGATATGGCAGCTTACTTAATGACTGAACTTTCTTCAACTATGGTGACTAATTGTTTCAGGTTCATATGATCATACAGTAAAGATGTGGGATAGTCGTACTCAGACGAGTGTGATGACAGTCAACCATGGATATCCTGTAGAAGATATCTTGGTGTTTCCATCTGGTGGTCTGTGTGCTTCCGCAGGTAATATTTGATACACTGCATCCTGGTGAAGTTTACTGTTATCTGCTGCCCGTAATGCTTACTGAAACTCGTCTGTAAACAGGTCCTTCATTTCTCTTACAGGTCATAACATAGTTAAGATTTGGGACATCCTTGCTGGTGGACGATTAGTTGCAGCATTTTCCAATCATCAAAAGACTATAACCAGTCTTTGTTTTGATGGAGAATCCACTCGACTGCTGTCAGCCTCTTTAGATAGGTATACATACCATGTTAAATTGTCATCAATCATCAAAATCTATTCAAAGGGAAATCTAACTGAAGTCATCATTAATAAATTTGTAAAGTACTGCAGTATTTGACGTGTTTTTTCTTTTTCATTCAGACATGTGAAGATTTATGATGTAAAAGATTACAAAGTTGTCCATAGCATGCACTATCCATCACCAATTTTATCTATGGGAATTTCTGTAAGTTCAGAGTGTTTTATTGTTTGGTTTGCAATTTTGTAATAATATTGCATTTATCTTACAAGGATTGCTCTTACTGGAAAACCAGAAAAGGTAGAGCTCTCCAGTAAAATATCATATGATTCATTTAATTTCCATAGCCTAATGATAAACATATCGTTGTTGGAATGTCAGATGGATTGTTATCTATCAAACATCGTACACAAAGTACAGAGGAAAGAGAGACTGCTGTGAAATCAACACCCAGACCAGGCTCATACAGATATTTTGTACGGGGAAAAAACCAGAAACCTGAACAGGTGAGTGAATGGCCTGATTTGCAAACCCTTTTTTGCATAAACCACAACAAAAAACATAGATAATGATTAATGAGGTGTCTTATGTCTACATCGCGAAATGAAAGAGTGAACATTGTTTATTACTGTTCTAGGGTGATTTTGTTGTGGAAAGTTCTCGAAAACCAAAACTAAGTGCACATGATAAATTTCTAAAACAGTTTGAGTATACAAATGCTTTGGATTCTGTACTTCAGGTGAGTAAATGGGGTAGCGAGGATGGTAGTTGATGATGGTGGTGGTGATGATGTTGAAGTGAGGGTGGTAGTAGTGATGATGGTGATGATGGTGCCATCATGGTGGTGGTGATGATGATGATGCTTTGGATTCTGTACTTCAAGTGAGTAATGATGGTAGTGAGGGTTGTAGTAGTGATGATGGTGGTGAAGATGGTGGTCGTGATGGTGATGATGGAAATGATCATGGTGATGATGATGGTGTCATGGTGATGATGATCATGGTGTTGATAATGTAATGAGATGGTGTTTGTTTTGTTTTACAAAAACTTGATAAAACAATGTGTGCTTTGTCAGGGTCGCACGAATCCTCCGGTAGTGGTCAGTTTAATAATGGAACTCATCCGAAGACAAGGGTTACAAATTGCTTTGTCAGGGCGAGATGAAGACTCTCTTCTGCCAATATTAAGCTTCCTAAACAAGTGAGTATAGATTTGGTTTTTTCTCCTGTGATGAGTGATGACCCTTATTCGACCTCTAGCCACAGTTTAGAACAGGCTGAGCTATCCAATATCAATAAAGTTATATAGTTTCCTCCTGCAGTAACACTTAATGAATAAGAGATGATCCTTACTGGCAGTGGGGTAGCCAGACTATAATTTGGGGGGGGGGGAGCATTTATCGAACGCTGAAGGCGTAAGCCTTTTTAGGGGCGTCCGGGGGCATTCTCCACCGGGAAAATTTTGAAATCTGGAGTCCCAAAATGGCGATTTCCCGTGTTTCTGGGGAGAGATTTTGCATAATTCTGAAGATTATTTACCGCAGGAAAAACCTGATTTTTAATGATTTCTCAATAATGTGGATCCTTAATTTGACTCAACGAAGCTTACTTGGTCGCGTGTAAATAGTTAAATCGAAGTTTTAAAACGCATTTTAACCAATAACCACCATAGGCATTATTTTCTGTAGTTAGATTTAGGAAAGATTAGAACTTTTATAGACAATTTGGTGAACAGATGAGATTGGTAGTCACATGGGTAGTCATCGTCCCCCCCCCCTAATTTCTACCCGGATTTCATCTTTTTACAAGGGCAGTCCTTCAGCCTATTGGGGGGGCTGAGCCCCCCCTTGCCCCCCCTGTCTACACCACTGCTTACTGGACCTCTAGGAAGAACAGGATAGAACTAACAGAGCTATCCAAAACTTAGTTCTTATTTTTGTCTCAACGTTTAGACATATATGCAACCCCCGTTACACACCAACTCTTATCGATGTGACAAATACGATATTAGGTAAGTGCATTTGGAAACTGTTGAACATTTCCCCAGAGACTGCCTGCTTACGCTTGAGTTATGAGCAGAAACTGCCTAATATGCTTAAATGATTGCTTAGAAAAGTGACTAATGAAAGAAATTTGACGCGTATTTTAATTTCAGATATATACGGGCGAGTGCTGGGACAATCACCCAAAGTGGACGACATGCTTGCAAAGTTGCAGTTAAAGATTGCGTCTGAATTAAAATATCAAAAACAAGCATTTGAACTAATGGGTTCTCTAGACACTATTTTTGCCGTTTCAGCGTCGAGTCATGACGTACAGTTAGTAGAGAACGGACTGTCGTAGCGTTAGAATGGTCTGCATGGCCTTTGTAGAGATATATATTTATATAAATTAATGTAAAAAATTTTCAGCTTAATGCAGCAGATGGTGTCCAACGTGTTTCCTTGTTCTGATGTTTAGCACTTTACATAATGTATGCTTACATCATTTTATGTTGTGCATCACTTTAATTTTACACTGCAAAAAAATTTGAATCAAAAAGACAAAAACTTGAGTAAAATATATAATGCACGCACAGTGACTCAAAACATATGAGCAAAATTACTTAAATTTATGAGCAAAAGTAAAGTATAAATCTTTACTCCAAAAAGTAGGAAACTTTAGTAAAAAAATTAGAGTAATTTTAAATTTGAGTAAATTTACTGAAAATTTTGAGTGACTATGGGAGCTTTATTTTGCGGTGAAGCTAGCTGAAATACAACAAGGTATGTTATAAAATATATTTTAATGACATTTACAGGCAGTTCAGCCACCAAAGAGGGCAGCTTACTGTATAATACTATCTACACTGATCCAAACATATGAAATAGACTAAACTTATTCTTCAATTTAGACGAAATTGACATCAATGGGCCACATCGTCGTCGGTCATCGTGTCATTGTGCTTCACCTTGGTATGTATTGAATTGATTTCTTAATAGCCGATAATGATGTATTAGATAAAGTTAGAAAGTAGAGGTAAAGGTTTGCGTAAAGTAGAGGTAAAGTAGAGGTAAAGGCGTTCGTATATTTTGGTCAAACTGAGGTGTTTTTGGGTAGTATTTATGGTTTCAAAGAGTTCGTGGAATAACCATTCATAGCAACGCTTGCAATACTCGCACAAGTATAAGTACTTCTAAGCCTAAGGTTCATTAATTTACCAGCTGAAATGAATAGGATACAATACAGAACAGTATAATTAAATATTCATCAAACAGAACCGAAATCCTAAACAGCTCCCCCGATTACTGGCAATATTTGCATCGTTTATGATAATACCAATCAGGAATATACTTCTCCTTGTATCCTGAGCAGCCTAAACAGAGTCTAGTTGTTCCAGGTTGGCCTAACAAATGAAAGCAGATTTTTCTACATTTCCTACACCTATGATGTAATAAACTGGTCCCTCCTCGCACATGCCCTCTGATGTCGGGATTGATGTACTGCGGGCACCAAAGTACGAATTTGATTTCGCCGGAAGTGGATCTGTCCACATATCTTGTGTGATGTTGTTCCATCTGCAGCATTTCATTCAATTGCCTGTATACTGCCTCTTTCCTGTGGGATTTTCGGCTATCTCTGCTATTCCTGGGGTCCTTTGGATGGCGCCTGTCTTCGCTTTTTGAACCGTAATCCTTGTACATGTATTCCCTATGTGGCCGAATTTCGTAATTTTTACTGTAGTCATTTCGTTCCACACTTCCATTCATTTCTGTGTTCACTTCTTTGCTTTGAAATTTTCTGCTATCTGTGTTTTTCCTCATAAACTGGCTTTTTTGCCTTGGACTGGGGTCTTTTGGACGGCTTCTATCTGGACTTTTTAAACCATAACCCTTATCTGGCCGAATTTCGTAGTTCCTACTGTATTCGCGTTTATTTCGTTCGACACTTCCATTAATTTCTACGGCTTCTTTGCTTTGTGGATTTCTTCTATTATTAAATCCGGTGCTTTCCTTTGTAGAATAACTACCTTGACTTGAAATAGCCTCCTTTAGAGCGCTTCTATCACGCGTTTTTAAACCAAAATCCTTGCTTTGTCTGCTTTCATTGTGCTTGCTGGTGTCGACTTTATATTTTCGCTTCGTGCTTCCATTCATTTCTTCTGCCCGAGAATTTTTGTACTCGAGGCTTTGCTCGTGGCATTTAGAACTTCGTTTTATCCCACTACTTCTTTCGGGCGATAAATTTCGCTCATTTCTATAGCTTTCCTTTCGCTTTGATTTGCTTTCCATTTCAGTACGGCGTTTATAGTGAAGCGTCAAGCTGCTTCTTGGAATATAAATACTTGGAGGACTACCGGTTACACCATATCGCGCATGTCCGGGGAATTCCCGATTTTTCTTTCGCTTTGTTTTGCCAAATATTGCTTAGCTGAGCTGATTCTACTTTAAAAAATCTGGCAATTTCCTCGGTATAATATATTTTGTCATGATATTAATGTTTAGATATGAGAGTGTTTAAAGCCTGGTTTCAATACGATGCCGCGAGTCGGCAAGTTCCATTGTCGGTGATTACTCATGAGTAAAAATCCTTTGTGTAGCTCAAATAATTTTCCCCTTCAATGACTACCCAGGCTTAGTCATAGAAACTGAATGACAGATTGAAATTGTTTCCCATTGAATTCGAATTGCATGCAGTAGAATGAGGATCCATCTTAAAAATGAAATCTCATGCATGAGAAGACCTTTTGTTTACCTTCTATTCATCAATAAACCCATGAATGATAATATCAGCTAATTTTCATCAATGTCGGGAAAGTTTTGTACATCCCTTCCCCCCCTTTCGCCCGTACAAGCCCGATATTGACATTGTTATATACATACACTAATCGTTCAAAGTTCAAACAGTGCAAAATTATAATGAAAGTTGTTTGCTGAAACGAAGTGAAATTGTAGTTTAATTGCTGTTTCGTTCGCTTAGTTGACATTATTTCAATTTGAAAACTAAACAAGCTTAATCTATTCTTGATTGATATTACGTAGTTTTAAACTGCTCTCCCAAGAGGTCTGGAAAGGATTATCCTTTATTGCTCGAGTATAGCTGCAATGAACTACATAATGGATAACTCTGTCAGCTCTAAACTGTTCTCTATTGAGGATCAGTAACAGCCATCCCTATTGTTTCAGTGTTCTACAGCCAACAATGCCTCTAATTCAAACATATATGTTCTCCCCAGAGGTCTGGTAAGAATCATCCTTTATTGCTCTAGTGCAGCTACATGCTTATAACTGGATAACTCTATCAGTTCTAAACTGTCCATCTCCATTAAGATCCAGTAATGGCCACTCTTCTAATTCAAAAATATCCGTGCGTTAAGTTTTAACGTGGTTTCGCTTGCCGGTGCGAAATTAATTTTAAATATACAGGTTGGACCTCAAAATAAACAACCGGTGAAAATTTAAGAATCAGTATGCAATTCTAGAATAATTTTACTCGGAAAACCAACAATAATGAATATCTTCAACACCTATTCAATATACAATGTCTATTAATAAACATATTTTTCCTTTGACCAAAACATTTGATGAAATATATTACATGCATGCAATATTTTTGCAAAAGCTAGAAACCAAGAATACTACCCAGCTCTCTCAGTTCTAAGCGTTTCTCTCTAGAGATCCAGCAAAGGCCATTCCATATTGGTGCAGCCTTTACAAACTAACTTATTTATACTGAACATTGGACAGCTCTATCAGTTCTAAACTGTTCTGCTTAGAGGTCCAGTAAAGATCATCTCTTATTGATCCAGTGTTATTACAGAAGGAAACCTAAACCAAACTAACTGTATTTATACTGGATAGCTCTATCAGTTTTAAACTGTTCTGCTTAGAGGTCCAGTAAGGACCATCTCTTATTGATGCAGTGTTACTACAGGAGGAAACCTAAACTAAACTAACTTTATTTACACTGGTTAGCTCTATCATTTCTAAACTGTTCTGACTAGAGTTCCAGCTAGGACCATCCCGTGGTTTGGAACGGACAAGAAAATATTTCTTTGTCTTGTGAGCTTTGCCTTTGGGTTGGAACTAATGACTTTAACACAAAGAAAAAATTTTGTTGTTCGTTCCATTCCACGGATAATTTTCCTGAGTGGAAACTTGCCTTGATGTCATTACAGGAGAAAACCGCAGAAACTTGCGGTGTTAAGCCTGGTTCACACGATGAAATAAGCACAAGCACAATCAGCGGAACCTTTGATGTGCATAAACGTAAGCATAAGAAGAACGCAACATTTGTTCTTCTTATGTTTATGCTTATGCACATTAAAGGTTCCGCTTGCTTATGCTTATGCTTATTTCATCGTGTGAACCAGGCTTTAGGTAAAGATCGCACGCGGTGGGATGCTAAGAATAATGCAATGTTACAAATTATTATGTGGTTACAATAGTGCTATAACAAGAAAATCTGCAAATAGGAAACAAGAAAATAAATAACTTCCCTAAAAATCCCCTAGAATGTATTGTCATCCTGTGTTATGAATCTATAAAGTCCCTAACATCATAATTTTTCCCCAGACCAAATAAAACTAAATTCATTGCCTTGTTTCACTTTCTGATGGTCACCAGCAAACACATGTAACAATAAACCGTGCAAAATGAAACCGCAACTGTGATTGGTCGAAACGAAAATGACGTCATATTTTCTTAGAGAAGTTCTTCCAGGAATATCGTCATACATGACATCATTAAAAAATTCCCCTTATTTCTGAATGCATGTATATAAATGAATTCGGCCGGAAAAAAATCATGCAGTTAACTTGCAACGCTAAAAAAACAAACAACAAGTTAAAATCTACACTAAACAAGATATTAATATACAATGGCTATCTGGGATATTTTGCAACTATTTTCAATTTCGATACTTTCTGGGGTATGGCTAACAATATTCTACAAGCGAGATTTTCAACTCGAACGACATTTGATCTGTCGAATACGGTACATAATTGCCATAACGCTAGTCTGGGGAGCAGTGTATTCTACAAACATTCGGGTGTTGACGGTGCTAACCTCGTTTGGGACACTGATTTACGTTCTCACAGAATTACAAGCGTTAGCTAATTTGGAAGAAAGAATAAAGTGTTTTGCGTTGGGATTTTCGTTGCTTTTCACACGTGTCTGGGAGGTAGAATATCTGGTCTGTATTACGGTATTCTGTGCTTTAACTCAACTCCTCCGTTGGCCAATTAGCCTGAAAAACAAACTCCGCGAGTTGCGTATCATTTTTGGGCCTGTGTACACCATTTTTGCAGTTGGAAGTTGGATCCAAGCTGATTTTACTTCGAGCCTAATCCTGACTGTTGCTGCCATCCTCGCGTTAGTGGCTTCAATTCTACTTCGCCCGGACAATAATGAAGTCTTAAAATCACTGAACTTTTTGGGATTGCCCATTCCAAGTCAACAATGTCGAAAAATGGCTCACGGACTATCTATGTTTGTTAGCTTCGTCTTGTGCCTGGTGTATATTATAATACTTTCTCAAGCGAGTAAAATAGACTCTCGCATGTTGTATGTAATATGCTTAATTGCAGTTGTAAATATTTCTATGTATATTTGTGTGGCTGATCTCCCTCGCAAGATAATACGTAAATTATTGACAATGTTTCGAAATAATGCAGAGCATTAGTTTATAACTTTGAACGCAAATTTATATTTCGTGAAAAGCGAAGACTGCAGAAAATTGTATTAATGTATATATGATATTTTGGCTATATCTAGCTACTGTAATTAACTCTTGAAAATTAGATTTTATGACAAAATAACACGAAAATCGTCAAGTGGGGAATTTTGTGGGCAGACGTCACTCCTGAGCGGCATATGTTCATGTCTTAACAAGTACTGAATCTGGTATCGTGTATAGCTGCGGTCTAAAACTGTCCACGCCTGCATGAACTTGACCACAAGTTTGGTCAAGCTTGGCAGACATGTCATAATGATCCAGTGTTATTCCAGGACGAAACCTGGACGAAGTGCTGTTTAATAAACGAGCAGGAGTGTTTTATTAGGTTTAAAGCCACACGAGCCGCAGCCTGAGTGGCTTTAGACCTAATAAAACACGACCTGCGAATTTATTAAACGGCTTCAAACACGACTACAAATTCAATAGATATACTGCCTTATTAGTATTCTTTATATGAAGAATACTAATTAGGAGTGTTTTATCAGGTTTAAAGCCACTGCACGTGATATATTATGGTTGACATGATTTGCCAATAAGCTTATGAATTATTAATGAATGCCTGAAGCTAGATTTATTTATGCTGAATAACTTTACCAGTTCTGAACCGTTCTTCCTAGAGGTCCAGTATACTATGGCAGTATTAGACAGGTTAAGATTGACGTTTACGGCAGAGCGGTAACCGCAAACGGGAAACTTCAATTCGCATTGGAAGGTAAGTTCTACAAGTTTCCGAAGGTTTCGACAGGTTTTAGTCAATTCATTCTTCAATTTTAATGCACAAATTGTCCGTTCGACAAAATGTCCGTTCGACAAAATGTCCGTTCGGCAAAATGTCCGTTCGGCAAAATGTCTTTCGGCAAAATGTTCGGCCACCACCGCGTGGGTTCCTCATGAGTGAGTCAGCAATCGAGAACATTGCCGTCCGGGACGTTGTTTAATGACCGAGCTTTCCTGGTAAAAGCCATAGTTTTGTTTGCGTTTTCTCCAGATCTCAATACAATGCAAACCCACGTCCTGGACAAAACCTTGACTGCGTCCTGGCGATATTACGTCACGCCTATTAGACAAAAATAATTTCCGGTCAACGTCCCGGACGGCAATGTTCTCGATGCTTAAGGTCGCTAGTACGTCACTGAGATAATGTAATTGTAAAGACAGCCGAGCATAAGATTCTTATTCAATCTGGCAACGTCTGGTCTAGGTTGAAACGTGGGCTGGAACTTCAACCCCAGTGGCGTGTGCTGTATTACCGTTTCGATCAGACCGTGTCATGTTTCCTGCCAGATGAATTCGACTATTGCAGCCAAACATTCTCTTATACATTTGACAATACTCCTTGTTGAACCAACTGTACAAGATAGGGTTATAACTGGAGTTACTCCACGCTAACCAGGTCACTATGTCCACTACGAAAGGGTGAATACGACACAGGGTACAGAACTGTGAAAATAAAATAGTTGAGATTTTTAATGCAATGAAATGCTGTTGTAAATGGCACACTAACTAAACAAATAGAGACCAACAAATGTTTGTACGACACTATTGCATTATCTCACATCATGCCATATCACATGCCATACCATATACCACACCATACGATAATGACGTTATACCATAGTTTACCATACCATAGCAACCATACTGCATCACACTAAATTGTACCAGACAACACCATACCAAACAATACCATACCATACCTCACCACAAATACAATACCAAACCTCACCACACAATACCATACCATACCTCACCACAAATACAATAACAAACCTGACCACACAATACCATACCATACAAATACCATACCTCACCACAAATACAATAACAAACCTCACCACACAATACCATACCATACCTCACCACAAATACAATACCAAACCTCACCACACAATACCATACCTCGCCACAAATACAATACCAAACCTCACCACACAATACTATACCATACCATACCTCACCTCACCACAAATACAATAACAAACCTCACCACACAATACCATACCATACCATACCTCACCACAAATGCAATACCAAACCTCACCACACAATACCATACCATACCTCACCACAAATGCAATACCAAACCTCACCACACAATACCATACCTCGCCACAAATACAATACCATACCTCACAATACCATACCTCACCACAAATACAATACCATAAAGCCTGGTTTACACTATCAAAGTTTCTGTGATCACAGTAGGAATTTTGCTTGGGTAAATTCTAAGGTTTGAAGAATTTGTAAGAAATCTTTGAGGTAATGGACTTAGTGTTAAACCAAGCCCGTTCCCTCAAACATTTGTTACAAATTCTTCAAAACGTAGAATTTACCCATGCAAAATTCCTACTGTGATCACAGAAACCAGCCTTAACACAATACCATTCCATACGAGACCAGACAACACACCATACCACAGCATAAAACACCATACAACAGCATAAAACACCATACCACAGCATAAAACACCATACAACAGCATAAAACACCATACCACAGCATAAAACACCATACAACAGCATAAAACACCATACCACAGCATAAACACCATACAACAGCATAAAACACCATACCACAGCATAAAACACCATACCACAGCATAAAACACCATACCACAGCATAAAACACCATACCACAGCATAAAACACCATACCACAGCATAAAACACCATACAACAGCATAAAACACCATACACACATAACACCATACACAGCATAAAACACCATACAACAGCATAAAACACCATACAACAGCATAAAACACCATACCACAGCATAAAACACCATACACACATAAACACCATACAACAGCATAAAACACCATACAACAGCATAAAACACCATACAACAGCATAAAACACCATACAACAGCATAAAACACCATACAACAGCATAAAACACCATACAACAGCATAAAACACCATACAACAGCATAAAACACCGTACAACAGCATAAAACACCATACCACAGCATAACACAGCATAAAAC